ATATTGCGTGAACTGTAGCTTCTCATATACCAAAGATGAATGGAATCACAGCTTCCTTGAGTGATTCAATTCTGATTATCTCTCTGTTTTTCATTAAGTTTTTCTGCTCTGGTTTTCGCTGTTTTACCTTGCAAGTTTTCAACATGGTATCAGAGCCCTAGTCTCGCGACGTCTGATCCTCCATCTGCTGTGTTTTCAATGACGACTCCAGCTATGTCGTCCACAGCTTCTACAGCAGATACCGGTACCAAGTACACCCAGCTTCAAGAAACTCAAATCCCCTCTTCTCTGAAATTTTTCATGAACAATATCAATATTGTTCATACTCCCTTGACTACTGACAATCATCCACTGTGGAGAGCTCAGGTCATCAAAGTTTTTCAAGCCAATGGATTTTACGGCTTTTTGGATGGATCAGCAACTGCACCACAACCATACACTGTTACCTCTGATAGTGTTTCTACACCGAACACTGAGTTTTATGTATGGAAACTTATTGATCAAAATTTAACTTCAGCTCTTTATTCTGTTATTACTCCATCTCTTCTCCCTTATGTGTTAAACTTGGAAACCACTCATGCTTTGTGGATAACTATAGAGAAGAGGTTACAATCCACGAATCGATCTCGCATACTCAGCTAAAAAATGAGCTGCACCATATTACCATGAAAGAGATGACAATGACACAATATCTGTCACTCATTAAATCCAAGGTGGATGGTATTAATGCTACGGGCAGTAGTTTGGGTGTAGAAGATATAATACTTTACACCCTCAATGGCTTACCTACTACTTACAATGCATTTAAAACATCTATACGCACAAATCTGCAACCATTGAGTCTAGATGACTTATACTCATTGCTATGCAGTGAGGAGATTAACTTGACTGCTGATACACTGCATGAAACTCATATAACTGCAGCAACAGATCCACCAACGGCATTATATACTTCGAGAGGTCGCAACCGAGGACGCTCATCTGCAATGCGTTCTCGTCCTTATAATAGAGGTGGACGAAACACTGGTAGAGGAGGCCGAATAGGGAATCAAAGCATTGAATGTCAGATTTGTGCACGTCGGGGACATTCTGCAGTAAATTGTTGGTACAGGACTTATCTGGAATATCAATCACCACAAAATGCAACACTTACAGCAACTACAAACTCATCAATTGCTATTTGGTACCTTGATACAGGTGCTTCATCGCATCTAACGTCAGATGCTTCACAAATGTCCTCAGTTCAACCATATCATGGTCAGAATCAGATCACTGTTGGAAACGGGCAGAGTCTACCTATTGCAACCACTGGACAAGGATTGCTTCCTACCCCTTCACGTAAACTTCTTCTTCATCCTCTCTACTTGGCCCCTAAACTCACTCATAATCTTGTCTCTGTTAAAGAACTCACGTCCAATAATAATTGTTATGTTGTTTTTGATTCAAATGGTTTTCAAATAAAGGATTTGAAGAACCATTCAACTCTCCTTCAAGGTCGCAGCCATAATGGGCTCTATCCCGTCTCCAATGCCTTCATCTCCACAAGCACATCAACAAATATACCAACCTCCTCAACTCTCTGGCAAGAGACTTGGACATCCAAACACCAACATCATAGGTGTCATACGTGCCCGGAATCCGTCTGTTTCCTTCAAAAATGTTGTCAGTTCTTGTAGTTCATGTTATCAGTCTAAATGTCACCGTGTTAGTTTTCCTTTATCTACTTCTACTGTTTCTAGACCTCTTCAAATAGTTCACTCTGATGTATGGGGTCCCTCCCCAATATCTTCAATTAATGGATTCCTTTATTATGTTATATTTGTTGATGAGTTTTCTTGCTATACTTGGATATTTCCAATGATTCAAAAGTCTGAGACATTTCAGCACTTTCTTCATTTTAAAATCATGGTTGAAAAACAGTTTAATTCATCAATTTATGTTTTCATATTGGATTCTGGAACATAATTTACAAACAAACTGTTTCAAAACTACTTACAAACTCAGGGTATTCAACAACAATTCAGTTGTCCTTATACCCCACAATAAAATGGTTTGGCAGAGCGGAAACACCGCCACATCATAGAAATTGCTCGAACACCGATTCTTGATGCAAATCTGCCATATACTCTATTGGTATATGCTGTGCTTACAGCTGTTTATTTGATAAACAAACTGCTTCTCCAAATATCAAAAATAAGTCCCCTCATGAGCTGCTGTTTAAAACTGTACCAAATTATAAATTTCTGAAGGTGTTTGGTTGTCAATGCTACCCACTGCTTCCCTCAAACAAAACTCACAAGCTTGCTCCTAAAGCTCTTAAATCTGTCTTAATTGGCTATGCACCTGCATCTAAAGGTTATCTATGCCTTAATATACATACTGGCAAGGTCATTACCTCTGTAAATGTTCAATTTCATGAACATCTGTTTCCGTTCAAATCTGAAAATGTTTCATCTCCCACCATACCACCAACTGAAACTTCATCTACCACATCTACTCCACCTCTAACTCTAGTTCCTTTCCCACCTGCTACACGAACAGCTCCTATTATTGATTCTGTCTCACCTTCTTCAACAAACCCTTCACCATTCTCTTCCTCCAGAACAACTACTCTCCCAACTCTGCCTACAGATTCATTATCTGTTTCATCTCAACCACCGCGCCTGACCAAAACTCATCAGATGACCACTCGGCTTCAAACAGGACATTTAAAACCCAGGTCCATCTTTATTCTTCTACACCTAACACAACATTCTTCTGATCCCACCTCGTACAATCAAGCAGTTAAATGTCCAAACTGGCGCAATATAATGTCAGCTAAATTTCAAGCACTTCAGCAGCAGGGTACCTGGACGCTGGTTCCTCCCAAATCCATTATAATATCTTGGGCAACAAATGGTTATATAAAACCAAACTTACGGCTGATGGCAGTATTGCTAGATACAAAGCCCTCTCAAGGGTACAAACAAGAATATGGATTTGATTTCTTTGAAACCTTCAGTCTAGTTGCTAAATTTCAAACAATAAGAGTTTTTCTTACTGTTTCTCTCCACAATAATTGGACCATCACGTAATTAGATGTATCAAATGTGGAGCAACCCAAAGGTTTTGTTGATCCTAACTATCCTTCACATGTTTGCAAGCTAAACAAAGCACTCTATGGCCTTAAGCAGGCTCCTAGACAATGGTTCTCCACATTTACAGACTACTTAGTCTCTTGGGGTTTTGAATTCAGCACAGCTGATCATTCTCTCCTTTACTATTCAAAACTTGGAGTTACACTATATCTACTTATCTATGTATATGATATCTTACTCATGGGAAATGACTTTTGATGTGCTTCCAAACTCCTACAAGATATGAATCAGCAGTTTGCTGTCAAAAATCTCGGCCATCTTCACACATTTCTTGGCTTGCAAGTGATTCAATCCTCTGACCAAATATTCATGCATCAGCAACACTATGCTCGGTCCATTCTCAATAGAGCTGGCATGACAGATTGCCATCCCTTACAAATGCCTACAGCTCCAAAGACAGACACTTCAGCTGAAGCTATGCTTCCCTTTCCTGACCCACAGTTCTACCGAAGCATTGCAGGATCCTTACAGTATCTCACACTTACTCGTCCTGATATAGCCTTTGTTGTTAATCAAGCGTGCCAGCATATGCATCATCCCTTAAATATGCATTTTCAGATGATCAAACGGATATTACGGTATCTTAATGGTACCCTACACTATGGTCTCCCTATACTTCGTGGCACAATTCAACTTACGACATACTCTGATGCTGATTGGGCTGGGGACAAGCAAGATCGCAAGTCGACATCTGGCTTTTGTATTTTCCTGGGCAATACCCTCATCAGTTGGAGCTCCAAAAAGCAACATACTATTGCTCGTTCTTCCACGGAATCCGATTACAGATCTCTCACTGCTGTTGCAACTGAAATTGTCTGGTTACGCCGATTGCTGCAGGAATTTCAATTCCCTTCTTTGACTCAAATCCCACTCTTTTGTTATAATATGTATGCAATTTTCCTTGCAAACAATCCTGTCTTTCATGCCAGGACCAAACACATTGAGATTGATTTTCATTATATTCGCGAGTGCATTAAAACCAATATTATCCAGGTGCATCACTTGTCTACTGCTGATCAAGCAGCTGATGTCTTTACTAAAGGCCTCTCTACAACTCGGTTTCAAGCACTTCGAACCAAATTAACTCTTCAACCTAGAACAGTTAATTTGCGGGGGAATGTTAGAATATTACACCAAGAGGAGACAGCACATGATGTGCAGCAGGACACCACTAACGGCATCAGCTCCAAATGGGAAACAACCTCTGCAAAAATAACGACCTGATGGAATCACAGCCACTACTCCTAATCATTGCTCTGTTATTTTCATGATGCTCCGCTCTCTATATATTGCGTGAACTGTAGCTTCTCATATACCAAAGATGAATGGAATCAAAGCTTCCTTGACTGATTCAATTCTGATTATCTCTCTGTTTTTCATTAAGTTTTTCTGCTCTCGTTTTCGCTGTTTTACCTTGCAGGTTTTCAACAACAACCAACACATATTTCACAATCATACCTCCATCTCTAAACCAACAAGTAAACACTCACACGAAAGAAATTCTGCTTCTTCCAAAATTACAAAATAGTATGAGTTCGGGGAAACCAAGCACAATAAGAAACCTTTGCACTAAAACTTAATAACCAACCTCTTATGATGGACGAAAAATAGAAAGATAACCACATACGATGGACGAATAATATCTTCACCTGACAATAAGAACTAAAACTAGAGAACCTCCAGGACAGGAAAACTTAATTACCAACCCAGCCAAATCCACACAATGACCATTTAGAATATGTTAATCTAGACAGCCTGTGCACCTGCATATATTGTTTAAACAAATACGCTCCCATGGCAGTGTGCATACAAAAAAAATTGAAATCGAATAATCGATTGATTGATGTTTTTTATTGTTTTCAGCGAAGAAAACTTGAGAGCTGCGCTTTCAAAAATGGGGGTTGGGGGTCGTGCAATGGATGAAGTGATGGATAAAGTTCGAAATCGCCATTACCAGGTTGTTTTGCTTTTATTTTTTTATTTTTTGCTTAAACCGTTTTGTTAACAGAATTTCCCGTCATTTACAGCTAGCTTGCACAATGACGTTTGAAACCATCCATGCTGCATCTTGTGATAGTGGGATCAACCATCCAAACCAATATTTTATTCAAAGTCGAAAATTGTTTGAACCAAAGGTAGTCATAACTCAACTTCACATTTAAATTACAGCTAGCTTTAACCAAAGTTAGTCCATTTAATCATATGTTCTGATCGTTTTGTGCACGGGCTAGTATCGAGTGGGTGGCACTCTAAGAAAACTAATATAGTTATTTATCTTCAACCTTCAAAAGTTTCTTATTGATACCTATATTAGGTTTTAAAATAATCAATTTCATTATTTTGTATTAATAATTATAACAAATGCTTAATATGAGTTACGTAAATGTTAGAAACAATGGTAACTCAAAGTTTTCCATCACATTTGGCCCCAATAACTGGAGAGGGATGCTCCCCACAATTTTTAGAAGAGATCTCAACTGTTCAGGATTTGTAACAAGATGTGTTTATTGTAAAATAATCAGAAAGGAAAATGAAAGAGGGGATGATCTCATCAAACAATTGACATTATGCTACTAATAATCTATTAGGGATTCATGTAATAGTTTTGAAACTTTTGATGTTTGAATATTCATGATGATAAGGGGCTGTTTCACAATAAGTAGGATTTAGTAAATCCTGTAAATCTAGATTTACTAAATCTCAAGGGCTAATCTTAAATTATTTGGCAATAAATTTAGGCAATAAATTGAAGGCGGTTAGTTCATCAAATACTTAAATTTAATTTGCATTTTAACAATGAGTTATTTTTTAATTCTAATTTTAATTACCATCAATAAGTTACAATAATAAATAATATAATTAGAAGTTAGTTTAGTTATTAAAAAATAATTAATGATTTAATTACTAATTATAGTACTAATTATTTAATTATTTATTTCAACACTATCGTTGTCAGGTTTGAAGCCCTGTTTGAAAAAAAAATAGAGGCTGTATTAGGTAGTTGACAATCAGCATAAAATTTGTCGAACAATCATGACATGAATCTTTTAATACCCTGGAGTGATACGCTACTTGTTCTAAATATAGAGAGGGTGGTTGCACTGATGCTCGGGTGCAGTGTTAAGTAAGCAAGTGTTTCAACATCACGGATCGATATGGGCAAATAAGTTAGTTCATAAAATTAGAATTAGGAGAAAAAATATTGAATATAAGTTCTCTTGCATGCAAATTAAATGAATTAATAGATATAATGATTCATATGAAGATGAATATTTTATATATTCAAGAAATATATGTGTTGTAGAAAAGGTTAAGGAGATTGATAGTTTAAGATTTAAACTATGGTATTCAGGTAGGAGTTATATTAGAAAATGTGTAGTTATGATTATACATAAGAGCTTGAATGATAATATTGTTGGAATAAATAGAATTATTGATATAATTATAATTTTAAAGGTTTTTAATGTTAAGATTATTAAAATTATAATTGCTTATGCTTTTAATGTAGGTTTAAATATGTGTTCAAAATTAAAATTTTAGAATAATTTTAAATATTAACAAAAATGATACCTCTTAAAGAAAAATTTTTATGAAAAGAGATTTGAATGGATATGTTGGTAGAGTTGTAAAATATTTTAAAAACATTTATGATGGTTATGAGTTTGGATCAAGTAAGAAAGGTGGAAGGACTATATTAGATTTTGCTTTAGCTTATGCTTATATAGTTGTTAGTGTGATGTCCTAGAAGCTAATTTAAAAAAATTATTCTTTTATCTTTTAATAAACAACACTAGAGCTAGCTAACCTTATTTATTAGAAATAAATAACAAAATCAAATCTAAAACATGACGGTTCTAAAATCCACATTTATATCGATAAGTGTCAATTTTTTAAAAATTTGCACCAAAATTTTCTAAATAAAATGGGCTATTTTATAAATATTATTTTATTAATTTTGGAGTTATGGATTTGAAGATATAAAATGATTTATATAATTTTTATATTTAAAACTATGTAATTTTTATAATTATATTTATATTGTATTATAAAATATCTTAAGCCATTAATGAATCCATTTAAAGCCTCTTTTCTTCATTAAATTGGGCTAGCAGAGAAATGCAATACGAGAGTGTAGGATCTTGAGATGTTCTTGAGAGCTCATCTTGAGCTCTTCTTGCAAGAGATAGAGAGGGAGAGGGAGAGGGAAGGAGAGAGATAGACAGCGATTGGGGAGGAAAATACCCAAAACTTCATTAATTTTCCCCAACCAATACATCATACAAGACCTCTATATATATAGATGTACAAGGGTGTGGTAGCATGCATGAACAACGTATCCTAAAACTAAATCAATACATAACAATCTCCACCTTGATTTAGTTTTACAAAAACAAAGAACCACTCGTCACAAGAACTCGAACTTGTTGCAATCCAACCGATTGCCCTGGACACCCGTGTGCGCTCCTACCCGCGACTTCGCACGATCTACCCGTCCACCGAGCCCCGCGCATTCACCTGCGCTCCGCTTGTCACAATCCCAAGTTCACGACCATCTTGCCTCTAAGAGGTTCTTGATGCTTCAACATGCTCCTATAATTCTCTACCTCAATCTAAACTCCAACTGAATATGAATATCTATCTTCTCCCTCATCTGAGCCTGACCAAACAGCCGGCCTGAAGCCCACGTTCCAGCTTTTCAAGACTTCTTGCGTGTTAGCCATACTTCAGCCATAAGTCTGCCTGTTCAAGATCCTGCACTTCGGCCCGCACTTCCGAAGCAGATCCAGCGACCTCATCCGCGTCGAACCTGTCTCCTGGTCCAACGACTTAGCTCGACTCCACCTTACACGAGGCACCAAGCCATCTCCGGCTTCTCTACCCCCGTTTGCAGGAACGCCCGATGAGCAAATGCCACCCGGTATGTCGCTTCCTTCATGCTTGTCCGCAAGAACCTCATGGCCTACAACACTGGACGGAACCAACACTTGTCCCAATCTCATTCTTGCCTTCCAATCTCTTGCTTGACAAACTTCTGATTTTACCATGACATCATCCTCTTCATCAGCAAGATCTTAAATTCTTTTCTGATTTTTCTTCCCATAAATCTGAATGAAAGGGTGGAAGGGTTCTTCTGTTCCCGTGCAACAGCTCAAGACCTCCTCTCTTTTTGAACAAGAACCTTCCTCCATATCCCTAGCTCTGATATCATTTTGTAGGATCTTGGAGATGTTCATGAGAGCTCATCTTGAGCTCTTCTTGCAAGAGATAGAGAGGGAGAGGGAAGGAGAGAGATAGACAGCGATTGGGGAGGAAAATACCCAAAACTTCATTAATTTTTCCCAACCAATACATCATACAAGGCCTCTATATATAGAGATGTACAAGGGTGTGATAGCATGCATGAACAACGTAAATCAATATATAACAGAGAGAAAAGTGAGAAAGAAAATAAATCCTTGAATTTGGTGGACTTAGAGCGATTTTCGTCTGTCCACTTTATTAAGAGATTTGCTCATCTCACTGTAACGAATCATTACCTTTGTTATTTCGATAATTCTATATTTTTGAGTATTTTTTGATATTTTTCTTTGAGTGATTTTGAAAAAGTAGATTTTTTATCTATTAAAAAATTTATTTTGATTTTTAAAAATAGTACTTTAGTTCAATTAAAGTTATAATATATTGTTATATATGATCTCTGGCTATGGTTCACCGATACAGATAGGGCGACACGAATATTTGACACGTCAATTCTTAAAAATACACGATACGGGCATGGTGTGGACACGTCATTATAATTTATAAATCATACATAGAAAATTAAGAAAGCAATCAAAGCTTAATATTTGAAATTAAAAAAAAATGAAAGTACCATCATTTGTAGTTTTGAAGTTTCAACTATTTAATAGAAGGAATGATATGATTAGCTTCTTCAGTGGTTTGTCTTTGAACTTCTATATCATTTTCAATAAATATCTTAGCTTCTAATTCAGGCTCATCAAGTGAAAGATTAGCAATTTCTAATATTTCCATATCATCAAGAGATTCAAATCCATCTCGGAAATGAGAGAACCTCGCTCGCAACCATGGAAGTAAATACAAAGCATCTTTTTATGATTTTTTTTCAACGGACACGCATATCAAATATGCGTGTCCTTTTGTTATTAAATAGTATTTTAATTGGATACGGAAAAGCCGTATCTGACACGTATCTGTGCCGTTTCAAAGGCGTATCCGTGTATCAGTTATCAGATACAACACACATTCGTAAATAGGTGTATCGGTGCAAAACATAGATATATGGTAATATGGTAAATTTTTGAAAATGTGAGTTGTTGTTCTGTATGGTTTTTTGTTGCCCACCGTTAGGTTATTTTTAATACTTTCTAAATTAATCCTAATTATTCTTTATTTATTACAATGCATTGAAAATGAATGTGAATATAATGTTAAGCAATAACGGGTCAATATATTACTATTATAGTACTATGATAATAATATATGTATGAGAAAAAATAAGTGAAAACTGTTATTCACTGACATTGACTGGAGATTGGTTGATATGTACAGGATGGTGGGCTGACGGACTTTCCTTTCAATGGGGCTTATTGTTATTCTTGACTTATTCTCATAATACACTGATTGAGAGTAATAAGAAGATGATTACTGTGCTGACGGGAAAAGAATGACGACTCATTTTATCGAGTTAACAATTATTGATTACTGATTACTAAAAAACACCGATTAAGTCGGAACTTTTTATTTGTTTAGTGTGACATACTGAGCATTTGATTAAGATACTGACTTGTTACTAATATAAAATAATTGGATAGGATGTATACATAGTGATATAATTATATTACATTAATATACTTTCGACAGTTTTTATCGATGCTTTGGTTTTATTGCTTTATATGATTTCTTTATGGATTAATAGTACTGATATGATGACTGCTTTATTGATTTGACATCCATATTGATTTACTAGCTTTTTATTATACTATTTTATTGTTTACAGATTATATTACTACTACATGTGAGGTTTACTATTTTTATATAGATTCATAATCTTATAAATATTATTGTTATGATTTGACTATTATCGCGTATATTGCTCTTTTGCCTTGTGTTGAGTTCAATTATAGGATTTGGTTATTTGTTAGGCTCTTGAGCTCATTATATATGGTTAAATGATTTCAGGTCAGGGAAAGAGAGCAGGAGTGTGAGTTTGATTAAGATTCCTTTATGTTTATATTTTTTTATTTTAGCTATTTTTGTGCTTAAGATAGAGTAGTTATGATATGATTGTATAGATCCTGAGTAGTGTATATAATTTAAAAAAAAAATAAATACAGATGTAAATATAGATGTTTTGAATTCTTGAATTATTTTGTTGTTTTTTTTTTATAAATGAAGTTAGATAGTTATGATATCTAGATTATTAAAAGTTAAAAGAATAATTTTTTCAAATTAAATTCTGGGACATTACGGCTAGTACTTTATTTGATAAAAGTAAATGAACATCTCATTACTTTGGTAAAATTTAGAGTGATTATTTTTTTATAAGAAAAATATATCCTTTAGATTGCAAGGATTATAAAATTATTTTAAGTGAAAGTTATGCACATAACATTACTTATAATTTTTGTCTTTAAGATGATGAAAGGATGAAATATGAAAAATAAAATTAAATGATGTCTTAAAATTGGATGGGGTCAATTTAAAAGGTAACACAAAATTTTGCAAAGTAAGATTGTAGATCTCTAGATTTTGATTATTCATGAGGAAGTTAATGTTATGTGTGAAAAAAATATCTAATGATATTAAAAATGTTGAAAAATATTTTCTTGTAATATCAAAAGGAAAAGCCCCTAATTGTAAAAATTGTTGGTGGTAAAATTAAAATGTATAAGAAAAGATAAAAAATAAAAAGCTTTGTTATAGAAATTAGTTAGATGTAAAAGCTCAGAAAATTGGAATATGTATTAAGGATGGAGAAATATGTATGTCTAAGTTGGCCAAGTAAAGAGATGAAATTAGGGATCTAGGTTAAGTGAAATGTCTTAAGGATGAAGATCAAAAAGTATTTTTATTAGAAAAAATAATTCAACATAAGTGAATGAGATATTTTGATAAGTTTTCCAATAAAGATTGTGAGAATACGATTGACTTTAGTGACCTTAGAATTCTAAATGAATATATATACATATTAGTAAAAACAAAGTTATGGAGGCTTTAAAGTAATTGAAGTGTGGAAAGATAGTTGGACCTGATGATATTCCAATGAAGGCGTGAAAATGCTTAAGAGACGTTAGAATTTCTTAGCTTACTAAACATTTTCATGTTATTTTGAAGGCTAAAAAGATGCAGATGAGTGGAGTGTGTTGGCTCCTATTTTTAAGAGTAAAGGTGATTCACAAGTGTGAATTATAGAAAAAAATAAGTTAATGTGCTAATACATTAGAATTATGGGAGAGTAATTGAGCATATGTTACGATGTGATACCAATGCTTCTCAAAATATATTTGGATTCATTCTGGGTAAGTCTTCCATGGAAGCTATGCATTTATTGAGAGGTCTAATGAAGAAGTATAGACAAAATAAGAAGGGTCTATGTATGATATTTATTGATTTAGAGAAAACATAAAATAAAATTGTAAGTGAAGTGCTATGGAGAGTTATAACAAAGAAATGTGTTAATAATATTTATATTCAACTCATTAAGGATATGTATACATGAGTTGTTACTTGTGTTCAAACACAAGGTGGTTTGATTAAGGGCTATTTGTTTGACTAAAAAAAGAATATAACGAAAGAGGGATGAATGTAAAATAAATGCATGAGATTTTTTATTTTGCTTTGTTTGAAGTGAAATGAATGCAATGCAAAGTGGTGGCCAGCGGCAAGTAACGGTGGTGGATGGTGCCCATCGACAGTGGTGACCAGCGGTGGTGGTGGCTGGCAGTGGGCAATGGCGGTGGTGGTTGGCAGTGGGCCATGGCGATGGTGGTGGCTTGTGATGGTGGTTGCTGTCGATGGTAAGCAGTTGTGGCCGATTGCGGCGGGTGGAGGGTGTTAGTGGTGGTTGGTCGTGATTGACGGCGTCGGCTTGTGGTGGTTCGTCGATGGCATTGTGTGGTGGTGTCCGCTGGAAATGGTGGTCTGCGGTGGATGATGGTGGTGGTTGGAGGCTGCGGATGGTGGTGGTGAGTGGCGAAGGTTAGTGTTGGCTAGCGATAGTGGCGGCTGACGGCAATGGCAGGCGTGTTCGTGTCTTTGCTTATTTATTTTTATATATTATTTTTAAGATATAAAAATTAGAATATCGTATTCAACCTATGTCCGTGTCCTATATTTTTAATAATTGGCGTGTCCGTATCACCATGTCCATGTTTGTGCATCATATGTTGAGGTAGAGTTTTGAATGAGCCGCTAAAAGCTTTTTCACCTCGTTTGACATTCCGTTCTTGTTCGACCAGAAGTTGCACATTTCGTCAACATTCTTCTTGTTGGATTTGAATTAACGACAAGGGCTCTCTCATTGCGAAGGACAATGAGAGAAAAGGTAAAAGCTTTTTCACCTCGTTTGACATTCCATTCTTGTTGGATCAGAAGTTGCACATTTCGTCAACATTCTTCTTGTTGTATTTGAATTAACGACAAGGGTTCTCTCATTGCGAAGGTAATCATCTTTCTCCCCTTTCATGGACTTCTTCGGCCAAAACCCGTAATCCACCGAACTATAGGATTTAGTAAATCTTGAATTTACGAAGGAAATAGAGGATTTAATTTGTTGTGAGATTTGTGTCCATTTTTTGTGTTTGACAGGATTTAGCTCAAACCTGCTTAAATTTTGCTACTAAATAGCCTCTTAACTCTTTTAAGTCTCGATTTTATCAATCATTTGACTAGTCTTGATTTTAACAATAATTTGACTTTAAGTCATAAAATAAGGAGGGATGAATGACGAATCAGGTCCTATGATCAAATGACTCAATGGAGCAGTCAAGTCAGCGGGGACATGAGTCCCCATGTTGGATCCGTGCATGCTTGTGCTAAAGATGATGCGTGGATCAATATTAAACAGTTAAAATAGTTTCAGCAAATTTCTGATTTCTTGGCTTGCTTATTTTGACTATTGTTTCTTGTTTACAGGTCCAATCTTTGTCCTAGTTTCTTCTCATTGCAGGGAATTTTGATTTTCTCCATTCTGCCTTAATCATGCAACCACTCGGTGGCCTATTTAAGCAATTTCTATTACCAACAGATTATTTTATTTTATACAAGCAGCATTGCTTCGTAGAATCTGTTTGAGATATAGTTAGCTGTTTCTGTGGCATTTTTTTTAATGTAAATGCGTTAATGTGCAGAAGCAGAATCATCCTTGTAACGTAAATCACCCTTTTAATTTAATCACGTTAACACGATATGAAACTTGATTATCTAATCAGTTCCGAATGATTGATCTGATCATGATTTGCCTCACCAACTATTTCCCAAAAGCTGCTCATTTGTTTTGCAAACTATTCTGTTTCTTTTATAATATTCCGTACGGCCTTACGACCTGTCATGTGTTGATCGGTACAAGTGGGTTATGCATCGGCTTGTATTAATAGCTCTGAGAACCGGCACCTTGGCTGCTCTAAGCAGTAGCCGGACTCATTCCATGCCACTGCGGAAAGCTACGAGAGATTATTCTGTGCGGAATCCGAATATATTCGGAGATGAATCTGAATGCGCTACGTCACCGGATGCATTGGGCCCCAGTGATGTGGCATGCCTGAATCCGCCTCCGAATACGTTCGGATTCCGAACAGAATAATTTTCCGAAAAGCTACGCCCTCTAACTGGAACTTTTATTTTATCCAGTGAACGTACACTCCTCTACGTTCGGTTTTAGACCAAAATAGCGCAATACCGAGTACCGAGTACCGAGTTGTACCGAGTTTTTTAAAAAAACTCGGTATTGCGCTGTATTGGTCTAAAACCGAACGTAGAGGAGCGCACGTTCACCGGATGTAATAAAAGTTCCTCTAACTGAGTGATCGTGTACTTCTCAAATAAATAAATAAATAAATAAACAACACTGATCTAAGTTATTCCCGAGTTTGAATTCTTTTCTTAGCTAAACACGTCTTTTATTTTTCCTGCAAATCAGCTTATGCCGTTCAATTGCCATTTTTTAGATGACAACTGAGGCTTCTACATCACTTTATTATTATCATCATTGTAATAATAATAATAATAATAATAATAATAATAATAATAATAATAATAATAATAATAATAATAATAATAATAATAATAATAATAATAATAATAATAATAATAATAATAATAATAATAATAATAATAATAATAATAATAATAATAATAATAATAATAATAATAATAATAATAATAATAATAATAATAATAATAATAATAATAATAATAATAATAATAATAATAATAATAATAATAATAATAATAATGGCATTGTAATAATCATATGGTTATTATTAATATTATTTATCATTATTATATATGTTATTAATTTAAAAGAATAGTGAGGAACTATGCACAACCTAGGCATGACAAGGATGAAGTATTGCTATAATTGATCTAAGATTGATGAAAATATTCTAACGCATCAATAACAAAGAAAAGCAAATAGCAAACTGCAGCATCTAGCATATGACACTAGTCTTAACGACTGCAATTGATAGACTTCTTAATTGAGTTTGATAGTAGACATGGCGTACAAATATGATGAAATAAGTAGAAAGGTTAATTAAAAATCCATTGATAGTTGAAATGCAGTATAACTTCAAATATAAATCGACAACAGACATATAAAGGAACGATTATAACTTCAAGAACAGCAATATTGTTCTTCTTTTTACATGTTTTACACTTTTACTAATACTTAAAATACCGCATGATTTCAATCAAATGGTGGAAATTGCGCTTAAGCATAACTGGCCGGTTCAATCCCGATTTCCGGTTCGCCGGGTTCGCAGTCCGATCGCCGGTCGGACCGGTTCAAAGCTGGTCCGTTGATTTCCTTGTTTAGGCAGATAACCGAACCGGCCGGCCGGGTGCCGATTCAACCGGTTGAACTGGCCGGTCCAGTCCGGTTTTCAAAACGTTGGTAAAAACCCTTTTTTTCTCTCTTGGTGAATGAAGACGACCACTTTTCTATGATTTGGGATCGCCGGTGCAATGGGAAAAACCTTGTCGAGCTGTTTGGTATTGAATATATCACCTTTTTGTTCTCTGCTAACTCTTCTGTGCATGAATTCTTTGATGGCAATACATGGACTCTGCCTTCTAGTTTACCATATGGAACAAAACAGAGAATTTTAAATGCCCAGGTTGTTAGCACTCTGTTTGCACTCATTACACCTGCATCCTTACCTGCGCTTGGACCATCAACTGCAACACCTTTATACAGAGGATATTCTGTTCCACTTAGCTCTTGCTATTAATGGCTTGTTCAGTAGCTTTTCCCTGTGTTTCTCTCTATATAAATGTAGTCTGTTTTATGAATTGTATCAAGGAGAAACACAAGCTGCTACAATAAAACTATCTCTTCTTCCTCATTTCTTCCTTGTTTCATCTGTTCAGCTAATTTGCAGGTGTGAAGCTAAAGTCACTGTTTAGCCTCTTTATGGTATCAGAGCACCCGCTTCATCTGCATCAGAATGGAAAATCATGATTCCTCTTCCTCTACAACTGTTCCTCCTGAAGGCAATGTCGCTGCAACCCCGACAGCACCTATATCGGCATCAATGGCTGATTTCACGATACCAGCTCCTTTGAAATTTTTAATGTCTAACCTTCAATCCATTATCAGGGTGCATCTTTCAAATGAAAACTATGGATTGTGGAGCTTACAAATTAGTAAACTGTTTGCAGCAAACGGTTTTGAAGGCTATCTCTCCGGGCAATGAGTTTGTCCGAGCAGCTTACCCACCAACCCTGAATACAAACTCTGGCAGCTTGTTCATCAGAATCTGGTATCAGCATTTCTCTCAACAATCTCTCCTTCGATACTTCCATATGTGCTTCATCTCTTAACTGCGCATGAAATATGGATCACTCTGGCAAGCAGACTCCAGCCGACAAATAGGTCTCGCGTGATCCAACTCAAAAATGAGCTTCACAACATTCAAATGAGAGATTCAACAATGACCCAATACCTAGCTCAAGTAAAAACAATTATGGATAATATATCTGCAGCTGGTTCCCGGATAGAATCCGAAGACATAATAATGTACATTCTCAATGGTCTACCGACACCATACAATCCGTTTAAAAGCTCCATTCGCACGTCTCAACTTCGTATAAGCTTGGAGGCACTGTACTCGCTCTTATGTAGCGAAGAGATAAATCAGCAGAATGAGCTTCGCCGAGATGCTCAGCTAGCATCAGATAATATGGCATTCTATTCCATTCAGACAGCTCGTGGTTGACAGAACAGGGGACGTGGAAGTTTTTCTAATGGTAGAGGCAGAGGACAAGGTTCAAGACAGCAAAATAATGCTGTTTGATCTCAGACTGATACATCAAATGCTCGTTCCACATGTCAGATTTGTGCCAAGAATGGCCACACAACCGTGAATTGCTGGTATGGTTACTTAGCTCCAGCTGCAGAACCCAGTCGTGCTCTGTTTACTCAGCCGAATCAAAACAACCCAACTGCTGAATGGATACTGGACTCTGGAGCAACAAGTCATCTCACTGCTGACTCACAAACTCTATAGCAACCCTCTGTCTACACCGGATCAGATACTGTCTCAATAGCAAATTGGAATACCCTGCCAATTCAGCACCAAGGATAATGACTTCTACCTCTACCGAATACACCCCGTAAGCTTTATCTTCAAAACATCCTTCATGTTCCGGCTTTATCCCATAATTTGCTTTCCATTCATAAATTAACCACTGACAATAATTGTTCAATCTCTTTTGATTCTCACGGCTATACTATCCAGGATCGAGCGGACCACCAAATCCTTCTTCGTGGTCGAACTCATAATGGGCTCTACTCAATCTTTACTCCCAAAATCAATGCTACTCCAACTGCCTTTCAAAGCACTACTGAATCTAGAAGTTCACCGTGGCATGCTCGTCTCGGTCACCCTCATCATCGTGTTTTACAAGTCTTAGCTCGACTAGTTCCATCTATATGTATCCCATCGAGTTCTTTCTTGTGTCGTTCATGTAATGTGGGTAAAAGCCACAAGTTACCATTTGTATCTAGTACTACTACTACTTCTACGCCTTTCTATGTTGTTCACACCGACGTTTGGGGACCTTCCCCCGTCGCATCTATTAATGGATATCATTATTTTGTTACTTTCATAGATACATATTCTCGCTTTTGTTGGGTTTATTTAATGCATTCCAAAGATCAGACATTCTCTAAATTTACACACTTTAACAACTTAATTAACAATTTGTTCAAAACTACAATCAAAATACTTCGCTCCGATGGTGGTGGTGAGTTCAACAATAATATCTTCATCAACTATCTTACATCCCATGGCATCACACACCAACAATCTTGCCCCTATACACCTGAGCAGAATGGTGTAGCTGAACGAAAGAATCGTCACCTACTTGACATTGCTAGAACTCTTCTTCATAATGCCAATCTTCCAAACTTCTTCTGGGCTGAAGCAATTCTCACGGCCAATTATCTTATGAATCAACTACCAACCAAAGCAGCAAATCTTCAAATTCCATATCACCTCCTTCATGGAAAATTACCTCAATATGATCATCTACGAACATTTGGTTGTTTGTGTGTTGACCTCATTTTTGTATGAGGTCACTAAGGCCCTTCCAAACCCCAGATTAATTCTAGATCCCAGGATCTACTCTAGATCTTAAGGTCCTTTCCTAGAGCCAGACCTTAGGATCCATTCTAGAGCCTAGGATTCCCTTAGACCCTAGATCTTAGAACCCCTCTAGATCTTAGGATCAATCTAGACTCAAATCAATCCCTACCCTTGATCCATGCCCTTTGGCCTGAAAAATGCTGGTGCCACCTACCAACGGGCAATGACTCACATTTTTGATGATTTGATACATCAAAAGGTTGAGTGTTATGTGGATGATCTTGTTATTAAAAGCCTTGGCCGAAAAGATCACTTAAAAAATCTCAGAATTGTATTTGAGAGAATTAAAAAGTTTGATCTAAAGATGAATCCTCTCAAATGTGCTTTTGGGGTCTCCTCCGGCAAATTTTTGGGGTACATTGTTCGACATCGAGGCATCGAGGTAGACCCCAATAAAATTAAAGCAATCATGGAGATGTCACCCCCGAAAAACCTGCGACAACTCCGCTCCTTGCAAGGGCAACTGGCTTTTATTCGACGATTTATATCAAATCTCTCGGGTAGGTGCCAACCATTTTCCAAGCTTATGAAAAAAGATGTTCGCTTCAGATGGGATGCTGAGTGTTAGGAAGCGTTTGACAGCATCAAAAGATACTTAATGAATCCGCCCATTCTCGTGGCGCCAATCCTGGGGAAGTCTCTTATACTGTACACGACAGCATTAGAAGAGTCCCTCGGAGCATTATTAGCCCAACATAATGAAGAAGGAAAATAAAATGCACTTTATTATATTAGTCGGAGGTTGATTGGAGCAGAGATCCGCTATTCTCCAATTGAGAAGCATTGCTTAGCGTTGATTTTTGCAGTTTAGAAACCTCGCCACTACATGCTGTCTCACAAAATCTCACTGATATCAAAGATTAATCCGCTGAAGTTCTTGATGACAAGACCAGCGTTGACAGGTCGCTGGCCAGATGGGCAGTATTATTATTGCAGTTTGATATCACGTACATACCACAAAAGGCTGTGAAAGGACAAGCCTTGGCGGATTTTCTTGCCGCACATCCTATCCCAGCAGACTCTCCACTTAATGATGATCTGCCAGATGAACAAATCATGCAAGTTGAGGAAAATGAGAAAGTACCATTTTGGGAGATGTATTTTGACGGAGCATCATCAATTAAAGCTGCCCGACCTCCAAATCTTGCTAGAGCCCAAGCTGGCGTCGGCCTAGTTTTCATCGCACCAGAAGGAGGCATAATGAGATTTTCATTCAGTCTAACTGAACCCCGAACCAACAATGAAGCTGAGTATGAAGCTTTAATTGTGGGGCTAGAGATCGCAATTAATGTCAGAATTCAAAATCTTTGAATTTTTGGCGACTCTCAACTTGTAATAAATCAAGTCTTGGGGGGTTTATAAGATTTGCAAGCTTGAATTGGCTCATTATCATAGGCAAACCCTTGAGCTCCTGAAACAGTTGCCAAATGTTGAGATAGCTCGAGTTCCTAGAGGACAGAATGGGAAAGCAGATTGTTTGGCCAAATTGGCCAAGGAGATGGCAAATACCAATGAAGAGAAGCCTATATTCACTGGGGTTTACAATCGTCGAATCTTGGAGCCTACTCTATTACAATTCCCAATGGTAGAAGAGATATCAAATCCAAGCAAGCAGCATATAATTCTAGTTGAGCCTCAACCCCTCCATCAGATTGTTATGGAAAATTATCCAGAAGAATATCATGTGGCCAAGAGACGTAAAGCTAGTCAAGCTTCAGAATCATGGTGGCATTGTTTAGATGTTGAAGTCGAAAATAATTGGAGGCAGCCATTCATTGACTACTTCAAAGAAAATAAACTCCCGACAGAAAAATCTATGGCCGCACAAATTCGGAAAAGAGCACTGCGATATGCATTTGTTAACGGCACGTTGTACCGACGGGCTTTTGACCAAATGTGGCTAAGGTGTCTAGGGGCCAAGGAAGCTGATAAAGTAGTGGTAGAAGTCCACGAAGGGCTTTGTGGTGCACATCAGTCAGATCCTAAAATGGTTGCTAAAATCAAGAGGATGGGTTATTATTGGCCAATAATGGTGACAAATTATATTGACCAAGCTAAGAGGTGCCATGAGTGTCAAATTCACGGTGATGTTATTCATCAGCCGCCAAATCCACTGCACCCAACAGTAGCTTCGTGGCCATTTGAATGTTGGGGAACCAATATAATTGGACCGATAGATCCACCATCATCAGCGGGACATCGTTTCATTCTAGTAGTGACGGATTACTTTCCAAGTGGACAGAAGCAGCTCCATTCAAAGAAGTCACGTCCGAGCATGTGATTAACTTCTTCGCCCATAATATCGTCTACAGATTTGGTGTACCGCACCGTGTGATCTCAGACAACGGCATAGCATTCAAAAGCACTAAAATATACAAGTTCGTTGAGCGTTACAAGATCGATTGGCGATATTCATCAATATACAATCCAAGGGCCAATGGCTTGGCAGAGGCTTTTAACAAGATGATGGTAAAACTATTAAAGAAGATCCTCACCAAAAATAAAAGAGAGTGGCACACTAAAATGGTGGAGGCACTCTGGGCGTATCGTATTACTTATAAGACGCCGACTAAAGCCACTCCCTACTCACTGGTGTTTGGGGTTGAAGCTGTATTTCCATTGGAAATTGAGCTACCATCACTCCGTGTAGCTATCCAGTATGATCTGACTCAGGAGCAAAATGCTCGATTAAGAACGGAGGAACTCGATGCACTCGATGAAGTCAGATTACAAGCTCAACAGAATTTGGAGATTTATCGGGCGAGGATGACGAAATCATTTGATCGAATGGTACGCCATCGAGCATTTCAAGAAGAGGAATTGGTCTTGGTGCTGAGAAGGCCAATCATCCCACACCAAAAAATTGTTGGAAAATTTGTGTCCAATTGGGAAGGCCCATTCGTCATTGAGAAGGTGTACCTAGGAGGAGTTTATCAATTGATTGACCTGGAGGGTCAAAGGCCAATGCCTCCAATTAACGGTCGATACTTGAAGAAGTATCATACATAGGAATCAACATGTATTAAAAATTTTGTTGTGTATCTGACAAATGCCCACTAGCATATGTAAAGCATATATAATTCGAGATTCTCTTGTGACCCAAGAATGCATTTAAAAAAAAAATAAAATTGGGGGCATTTTAAATATTTATTCGGGTCGACATCGCGCTACGTGCCGAGATCCCCGAATAAATATTTAAAACTCCAGAATATCAATTTTGCGAAAAAAAAGACTGGGGGCATTTTAAATATTTATTCGGGTCGACATCGCGCTGCATGCCGAGATCCCCGAATAAATATTTAAAACTCCAAAATATCAATTTTGCAAAAAAAAAAAATTGGGGGCATTTTAAATATTTATTGGGGTCGACATCGCGCTGTGTGCCGAAATCCCCGAATAAATATTTAAAACCCCAGAATATCAATTAAAAAAAAATTGGGGCATTTTAAATATTTATTCTGGTCGACATCGCGCAGCGTGCCGAGATCCCCGAATAAATATTTAAAACTCCAAAATATCAATTTTGCAAAAAAAAAAAAAACTGGGTGCATTTTAAATATTTATTCGGGTCGACATCGCGCTGCGAGCCGAGATCCCCGAATAAATATTTAAAACTCCAGAATATCAATTTTGCAAAAAAAATAAATTGAGGGTATTTTAAATATTTATTCGGGTCGACATCGCACTACGTGCAGAGATCCCCGAATAAATATTTAAAATCATCAGCTACAAACATCCTTTTAAATCTGGAAGTGATAACTTCTATTATCAGTATATATATGAGTGATTTTCTCTAAAGTTCAGGACATCTCTCCTTCCAGTGTACTAAGATTTCTAAGTCAAAAGAGAGACTTTTTGTGATTATGCACTTCAACAAATTGAGCCAAAAAGCTTGAAGTTTTTTCAACAACCTGAAGCTTAAGGTTCGAATGGGTGTAAAAGGTCGGATCCAACACACCCAAATATGGCAGGATCGCTGGCAACTCCGTCTACTCAACACGCTATAAGAAAGGCCGTAGTAGCGGAACCCCCACTTTTGTTAACCTATCAGTAAGGACTGCAAGAAGAACGAAAGCTGATTTGATTCAATGAATTCTAGGGGTCATAGTCTACAAGACTCTCCTAATTGACTGGAGAATCAGAATTCCAGTGGATAAGAGTAGTCTCGAACACCTACCAAATGTCCGTAGATTCCAAGTTTTCAACCACAAATGATGACTTCAAATCTACTAATTTCAGAAGAGTGAGTATTGGGGAGCATATTTCCCATAGCTCGAGTCTGAAGTCTGAATGGGTGTAAAAGGCCGGATCCAACACGCCCAAATATGGCCAGATCAATGCCAGTTCTGTCTACTCAATACGCCATAAGAAAGGCCGCAGTAGAGGGACCCCGTTTCAGCAACTAGAAGACAAAAGAGCTACTAAATCCTAGCTTGCCTAATCTGATGAACTCAAGTGACTCAGATTAAAGGTCTTCTCAAATGATTAAGGGTTAAGATACTATCCACATTTGGTGCTATCAACTAAATCTAAAAACCTACAAATCTTTCATCAAGTCCGCCACACAAAGCATAGACAGAATGAGCCAAAATTTTTGGAATTTGAGCTAAATCTAATTGTTATTGATTTCAATTAGTGGCTGAAGCGACATTGCTCACAACTATCCTCAAAGGCTGGGGGCATTTTAAATATTTATTTGAGTCGACATCGTACTGCGTGCTAAGATCTCCAAATAAATATTTAAAATCCCCAGTAATACCAACATCATAAATTCAAAACTTAAGCTCAGAGTACAGCTCTAGCGCACGGCTCAGTACAGCTCAGAGTACAAAAAAAAAATCCTCTATATATATATATATATAATGATCATCATGAATTACAAATACATGGAAACTCAAGTCACTACAAAAAATACATACCAAAACACAACGAACGAGAACGTGTCAGAAAAGGAGAGCCCGTAAATTCTCCAGCCTGTCAGTGATCGTAGCCAAAGTCTGAAACTCTGACTGGGCAACCTGAAACTGCTCCACGACACGTGCTAGTGAAGCGTCTACATCCAGCACCTCCTTCTGCAAAGCTCGCTAATGCTGCTCCTCCCTCCTAATGAGACGATCCCCTCGTCTACGTCTGTCCTGTATGTGAAGCCTCTGAGACATCGCCTGCGTGATGTCCCTCCACATTTTCCACATACGGGTTGTCACCCCGTCTTCCTCCCTAGTCATGTTAGAAGTACTCTACGGTCATGTAGATTGTGAGCACCATCAGCCCTCGCTCTGCAGCTGACAACCATCCCCTCTATCTCTGGAAGTGTAACTGTAGACCCGGTGATCGAGAGGGAGCTTAGTTGCCAAATGCAGGACTCTGCCTCGAGGCACACCGCTTCCCAAAAAAGTAGCTCAGTGGTGCTCACCCCGTACTTGACAAGTAGGCCAAGGAGCTGGTTGGCAGTAGAAGAAAAGTCACACCAAGACTCTGGAGACCTGGGGTCAACACTGAAAATTAACGTCCTCAGAGGCAGCACCAAATCACTACACATCCTAGTGCTCATGGAGGTCGGAGGTAGAGGAACTAGACAGTCTATCTCTTAAGTGTAATCCTACCCGCAGGAACTGCACAAAAGATTGGAATCAATTAATATGGAGAAAATATTATAATAATGCATTTAAAATAAATTGACTTATAATAAATACGTACCCGTGGAGGGACTCGCAGAGTCGGTTGGGTAACTGACTGGTGTAGAAAAAGGTCCTACAAGATCGGTCGAGTAACTAGCAGAGACAAGAGAAGGGCCTGCAGAGTCAGTTGGGTGGCCCTCAGGGAAGAAGGAGAACTCCGTGGGCACCAAGCCTAACGGTGACAGTGTGTGTGGAGGCCGTCGGTACAACGTGACACAACCAACCTGGTCGCATGCTGATGAAGTACTCAGCAACGGACAAGCCCTGTCTTCTCTGTAACAAAGTACATCCCCCTAAGTGGTCAACTCCATCTACAACAACTATCCCCCTCAGATGGGGCGGTAAACTAACTATGTCTGTCTGGTAGTTTAAGGAGAACCTATCATAAACTAAGTGTGGACAAAAGAAAAGGAGTCGGATCCTCTCTGACTTAAACGTAGCAGAAGCCTGTGATAACTGAAGTACAGTGGGGTACCCCCTCTCCGTAAAGTACAACGGGCACTCTAAACAAGAAAAAGCTCCAAGTATGTGTAAGTGAATCCATCCGTATAGGTAGTGCCATGATAGGGTCAAGTCCTGAAGCTCAAGTGAGGTAGCCTCTGAAGCGGTGCATAAGGATCTGTAGATTCTAACAAGTACTACTGGTGCCAAAGAGAGATGCTGCCCCTGAGACAACTGGCTAGCGGCTAGGAGAGCACTGTAACGAATGAACCCTACTCTGAGTGGAAGAACGAAGGTACAGAGCCAGGTGGCCAAAAACCCTGCCAAAAGTAAATCATCACTGATGCCCTGTAGTGCTGGAGAAGTGTGGCCAACAACAAAAGAAGGCTCGGCGGTCTCCTCTGACAACGGAGCACCGCGCTGTAAACCAAGGCCAAATGGGTCCTGAAGTGAAGCTCTAACAGTGGTCAGGTAACTGTGCTGAAGAAAACTGCGGACCCAGATGTCCACCGGCATGCCAACCCGAGCTCGTGTTGTCAACCCTGAGGCTCTGTACACTCGACGGTAGTGATGCAGAAGTTCTATGTAAACATCTGGTAAGGCCAATCTACCCCTCCTGTCACCGTCTACTGAGGGGACCCGGTGAAATAACTGCTCATCTGGAGGAACACACTCCTCAAAACTGTGTCCAAAGACTGGCAACCCAGACACTACCTGTAACTCCGAAAGGGTGACTGTGAGCTCATCTGCTCCGACCCAACAAGTACCACGACTGGCATCCCAAAACTCAACCAAACCACGGGCCCAAGAAGTGGGAAGGCGCCCGTAGTCAAAAAGTGAGGCGTATACTATCTCGTAGATCCCCGCTGCTCTAAGAGTATCCATGTGCGCCTGAAGTACATAACGAGCCCAATAAATATAGCCGATGACTGGGCTCTGAATCCGTCCAACTGTAGAGTCCCTCGGCCACTCTAGAGGGGGTGAAGACTGTAACTGGCGGTGGCTGAGCAGGCTCGACTGTCCAACAGGCTCAAGCGTATCTCCTGCTGGCTCTAGAACGTCACAGGTACCCCAGCCAACTTGTGCCACCAAGCTCTCCAACGGGTGGTACTCCCCGTACTGCAACCTGAGACTAGTAATCCATCTGTCTGGGTTCTCAAAAATAGCAGAATCCTCAGAAAGCTCAGGAAGTAAGGGAGAGTGGGTAAAGAAGCCGTGAAAAAGGTCCCGCCCCTGCACCATGTCCTCGTGTTGCTCTAACCTGTCCCGAACATCAACACTGCCCTGGGGGTCCTGCCTGTCAATAGCCTCCCAAATGGCATCCTCACTAGGCTCACTCGGGGGCAAATCATCTGGCCGCTCCCAACGAAACATTTCATGCATAACAGGAAAAGGAAGAGTGTGTCAAAAGTGATCATAATAATTACAAATATACAAAATCAAAGCTACCACGAAACTGTCAACTACATCACAACAAACGTGGTACGCTCCAGACGCGTACCACATTTGTTGGGGGGCATTTGTTGACCCATGCAACTACAAAAAAATCATGAATTTAATAAGGATGATTCAGCTCAAATGTGAAGGGCATTGTGATCTTTGTTTGCTATGCAGTAATTGAGAAAATGACAAATGAAGAGCATCAAATTCTTGCTAATGGAATGGATTTGTACAGAAAATATTTCTCTTCTATCTGTGGTGGAGGACGGCAGCATGGAAAAGAACTCTCTTGCAATATATTTATGTAGATAAAATGACAAAGGAATTTGACATTAAAATGTAGGTTTGTGTTTCCAACAACTCTGATGTAAAGAAAGTCATTACAGATATGTTAGAATCTCTTAAGAAGGAGAGGACTTTGGAGACATTTGAGGCATTTCAAGATAGTAT